GCGTTTTTAGCTTGTCGACCCTATAGAGGTCATAATATTTATCCGATTTAACGAAATGAAATGAAATGAAATGGGGTTTAACGTCCTACTGTTCTGCTCCTATACTGGGCTAATGAAGACGGGCATACGCCATACAGTGTGCTATGAAGGAAATTTTGCCCGGGCAGCGGCGCCATCGCCTACTCTTATATCGAATTCCAACTGCCAAGGGATCGGATTTCGGCGTGGTTCCCCCTTGTCAGTAATGCAGGACCTCGGTTTTTCGTCTCATCCGAAGGACTAGACAGCTGTCCTTGTCAGACCCTCTGTCCTGCATCACTGACAAGGGGGAACCACGCCGAAATCCGATTTAACAAAAACGTTTGAATATATCACCACTACATCCTAAGGGTAGTTGAGTTCAAATTTCGTAAATATCGGACCAAATCTGACAGTCAAAATGGCCGCCCCTCGTACTCAGATAGTGTAAAAATATGGTATATCAATGTTGTGGACCCTCTAGAGGTCACAATTTTATTTTGATTTTGATGAAACTTGAAATGTAAGTTAATAACCCAAAGTTCTTGGTTCTTTTCGATATTCGGCATATCGGATAGTAACTTCCTGAATTATGGCCCTTGATTGTACGAAAAATCGCGTTTTTAGATTTTGGTCCTTGTAGACTTCCGATTCAGGAAACCTGTATTACTCAGCTATCGTAGCAATGATCTCTGTGTTAAAATTATATTTGGAATGTGTTTAACCAGCTCTATCACATATGTGATAATGACTGGCACCAATATTGTCCTTTAAAGTTACTTAGCATTTGGAGGTTGGGTGGTCAAGTGTGCTTTAAATCATAATGTCTGTCATTGAGTCAAGTCATGTGGTTTCGATGCCAAACTTATACATTACAAGGAGTAGGGTAGTCCGTCCAACCTTATTGGTTTTCTCTGGGTCCTGTTTCCCCCCACTGCTAATGTTCTCTATGCTTGTGAATTTATGAAATGAAATCTACCATATGTTAGTCTCAATTTGAGTTCTCACCACTTTTTTCCATTGTGTCTTAGTTGTGTATTGTAAACAGCCAATGAAAACGGTGCTGTTCAAATACACCAAGACATATCCACTTATCAATAAAAAGTTGCAGGCATAAATCAGCCAACATCATCCATAATTGTTACAAAATTCTCAAGATCAACAACTTTTTTAAAACTGCAAATTTAAAGCCATGATGAACCACAATAAATATAAATATTTTCCTTTAAAAATTTAAACTTAACAAATCAAAGTGATTACAGGTGCTCTTTAGATAGTATATACTAGTAGATCGAATTTAGACCAGTTTAAACATCTATAATATACATATATAAGTTTGTATATTAATTTTTTAAAACATTAGTTTAGATAATTAGAATAGTATCCTTCAGTTGTCAGAGCTTTTGTGGTTCAATTAGTCAGATGGTGGCTCACTAACCACGAGGTGTCTCCAAGACACGTGACTACGTGGGTAAGACGCTGGCTCGCTAGCCTGGGGGTCGGGTGTTCGATCCCTGCATTGGCCGAGAAAGTTCATCCAGATTTTCCGGCGTGGTTCGCCCTTGTCAGTGATGCAGGACGGAGGGGCTGACAAGGAAAGCTGTCTACTCGTTCGGATGGGACGAAAAACCGAGGTCCCGTGTACACATTGGCGTGCACGTAAAAGATCCCTTGACACAATTTCCCTCATAGCACACTGTATGGCGTATGCCCGTCTTCATTAGCCCAGTTCGGAGCAAAACAGTAGGACGTTAAACCCCATTTCATTTCATTTCATTTCGTCTCCAAGAGTAGTTTCCCTCCTAGCTCATTGCAGAGCATCATGTCTCCATTAGCCTGATAGGACATTAACATTTTTGTGACTTTTATAGATCATCCTTTTAGTTCTTATTTTGTTTATATGGAACTTGATAGTAACTCAATTTACACACTAAGAAAATATTTAGTTTATTTTTTAGAAACTCACTTTAATTAACTGTTGCTATGTAAATACCGGGAATCATTAACTGAAATATTCTATTTAGAATTCTAGACGTTCATGGCTACAATTCTATAGATGAAAACATTCTCAGCTATTTTTGTAAGGACACAGAAGAATGTATATATTTTGATAAGATTAAGAGTAAATATTTTAATTAATATTCAAGTTATAGTCATATAACTTTTAACATTCAAAGGTATATCACCTCGGATATAATTATGGAATAAATGGTTGAATTTGGCATTTTTATACACCCCCATTTCAGTGTGGGAGTATACTGCTGTCATTTAGATTTTTTATACGCCCACATTTTCATGTGGACGTATATTGTCGTCGCCCCTGTGCGTCCGGACGTCCGCCCGTCCACAATTGTTTGTGGACACTCTATGGGTCACAATTCTTATCCGATTTTGACGAAACTTGAAATATAGGTTTATCTCCAAAAGATGTCGGATGCTTTCGATATTGGCATGTGTCGGATCGAAACTTCATGGATTATGACCCCTGATTGTACGAAAAATCACGTTTTTAGCTTGTAGACCCTATAAAGGTCACAATTTTAGTCCTATTCTGATGAAACTTGAAATGTATGTTTATAACCCAAAGATCTCGGTTCCTTTCGATATTCGCGCATATCGGACCGTAACGTCCTGAATTATGACCCCGATTGTCCGAAAAATCGCGTTTTTAACTTGTGGGCCCTATAGAGGTCATAATTTTGATTCGATTTAAAAAACCGTTTTAGTATATCACCGTTACACCCTAAGGATGGCTGAGGTCGGATTTCGTGAAAATCGGGCCAAAACTGACAGACAAAATTGCCGCCCTTCGTTCTCAAATAGCGTAAAAATATGATATATCAAGGTTGTGGACCCTATAGAGGTCACAATTTTTATCCGATTTTGTTGACACTCGAAATGTGAGTTTATAACCCAACGATCTCGGTTCCTGTCGATATTTGCGCATATCGGACCGTAACTTCCTGAATTATGGCCCCTGATTTTACGAAAAATCGCGGTTTTTTTAGCTCGTGGACCCTATAGAGGTCATAATTTTTATCCGATTTAAAAAAAAGTTTTAGTATACCGCCGTTACACCCTAAGGATGGTTGAGTTCGAATTTCGTGAAAATCGGCCTAAAGCTGACAGACAAAATGGCCGCCCCTCGTTCTCAAATAGCGTAAAAATATGGTATATCAAGGTTGTGGGCCCTCTAGAGGTCACAATTTGAAATGTAAGTTTATAACCCAAAGATCTTGGTTCCTTTCGATATTATGACCTTTGATTGTACGAAATATCGCGTTCTAAGCTTGAGGTCCCTCTAGATGTCACAATTATTATCCAATTTAAAAAAACGTTCCAATATATATCACTGTTACACCATAATTTTGGTTTCGTGAAAATAGGACCAAAACTGCCAGACAAATGGCCGCCCGTCGTACACAATTAGCGTAAAAATATGGTATATCAATGTTGTGGAGCCTTCTGATTTTGATTAAACTTGAAATGTAAGTTTATAACCCAAAGATCTTGGTTCCTTTCGATATCCGCGCATATTAGATCGCCACTCCCTAAATTATGACCCTTGATTGAACAAAAAATCACGTTTTTAGCTTGTGGTCCTTGTAGAGGTCACAATTTTTATCTGATTTAAAAAAAATGTGTGAATATATCACCATTACACACTAAGATCTTGGATCCTTTTGATAATCGTGGATACCCGAACTTAACTTCCTGGATTATGGCCCCTGATTGTTTGAAAAATCGCATTTTTAGCCTGCGGATTCTCTAGAGGTCACAATTTATTTTTCCAATTTTAAAAACCGTTTAAATATTTCACCATTCCACCATAATGAAGGTTGAATTCGAATTTTGGGAAAATCGAAATGAAACTGCCCAACAAAATGGCCGCTCTTTGTACGCAAAATGTGTAAAAGTATGCAATACGAGGTTGTCAACCCGTTAGAGGTCACAATTTTTATCCGATTCTGATGAAACTTAAAACGTATCTTTATATCCGTATGATCTCAGTCCCTTTTGATATTTGCGCGTTTCATACCACAACTTTCTGGATTATTGCCCCTGATTGTACAAAAAATCCCGTTTGTTTTTAGCTTGTTCTCTATCCATCTCTTGCAAAATGTGGGCGTATCCTCTGTATTCACTGCTTTTCCCAAACCCGCGGTATTTTCCTAATGACTAGGCGCATAATAAATGTTGCAGCTCCAATAGAAAACAACCTTCTGTGGGAATCCGTGATGAAATGTGAAATTTTCCTCCAAAACTTGTGAGATTTCCCTCCAAATTCCATAAAGTAAAAATGTTATCTAATTTCTAAATCGGTGCATCATAATAGATTAGAAAATGAAACAGCTGATGTTGTACGAAGAATAACACTGGGAGGTAAGGTAAAACCATTTATTCAAAGGGTGTTCTATCCTTAATTATTTGACAGGTTGATAGGAAAATCGATCTGAAACCCCCGTCCGTGTTTTTATTCAGATGGTTGTGACATCTTGGGCTCTTCGTGGTTATAACTAGTGCGAGTTATAAATAGACAATTTTTCCCTTAATTTTTTTCTCCCCTCTTCCTGCATTTTTTGGTTAGAATTGGAGAAAAGGGATCAAATTTGCAATTTCATAGCAGTTTTGGGTAATACTGATGATATTACAGCGGAGGGATAGGGAGTGTAAAGTGTCTTTCTGCAGAGCAATCATTGTGTCGGAAGTGAGATTTTCACCCCTGTCAATCTAAATGGTCAACCCCCTACAAAATTATTATGAGGAGATTGCCAAATGTTGTCCCCATTGTGCCTATAAAGATTGGAACCAACGGAATGTTGAGCAAAAAGCTACAGCCTGTGATGTTACAGTCATTTAACATTGAAGTCAATGGGCAAATAATTGCTAGTCTGAGTCCTAATTACAATAACGAACTGGGTGAAGTTATCTCCCCTTTACCTAGTTCTGTTAACCGTTGAGTGGCGCTAGTGTATATCCGCCATTAACTGGACTTGTTTATGAACGTCGTTAACGAAAGTCGACAAGATTATAATCGAGATTTCAATAGTTTTAGATCGAAATAATGAGGTAAGTGAATATTAAATTTGACATTAACTCATAAGGCTATCTATCAAAACAAAATTGGAGGTCACTAGTTCAAAAAATCCAGAAATAATGTTGTTTTGGATTCTTGTCCCAAAAAGTCGTTAAAAAAAAATATTTGCGAAGTTGGCAATCCATTCCAATCTCTGCTTGTGCCAGTTGTGGAATGGTCCAGTTAGTTAGTCAACGTCTGAACGGATACGGTGTGTGAGTATGAGTATCAAGATGTCGTTCTAACTATCAATAAAAACAGGATGCAGGCAGTTATGATGTGGAAGTCATCTATGCAATGTCAATGTGAATGTCAATATTGTCATGATTATGTCAACATCATGAGAACATCCTTTTGCAAGCTTGAAGCTCAAAGTCAACTGCTGTGTTGTCTGGAATTAAGGTAAAGAGTCATTACCATTTGTGCTTTGGAGGTCTTGGTCGGTTGGTTTTAAAACTAAAAGTTCAGACTAATATACAGACATTCGAGCTGTTGAAAACGTCCCAACGCAAAATGACCAAGCTAGTATATAAACGGAGTGGATATTTAACCGTATGTATACAGCAAAGTATCTACATCCGCTATTTTACCGTACATTGTTTCTGATTGGCTGGAATATAGTGACGTCATCAAGTGTCAGTTCCTGGATTATTTGACCGTACATGAGATGAATTTAACCGTATACGGCTACTTTAAAAATCGGTATTAATCCCAAAATTTGAAAATAAATTAAGAACACACTGTTGTAATTAATTTAATTTAATTTCCCATTTTGATGGATTAAAAAAATGGGTTAGGATTAGGGTTCAAATTTATCTCCTATTTTCAGAACATCTGTACTTTCCGCCATTTTGAATAAGGTATGACATCATCATACAAATTAGCCAATCAGAAACGATGTACGGTAAAATAGCGGAAGTAGATACTTTGCCGTATACGGTTAAATATCCACTACCGTATATAAAGGGATTAGAAAACCTCTTCGGTACCAAAAACATCTGTGAAGTCTTGTCTTAGTCACCTTGGAATACAGAAGAAGTGCTATTATGTTATCCAAGTTTATAGGATTATTCAAGGAAGAGATGTTGTAAACAAACCCTTGCTATTTAAAGGTTTCAACAGAGGAAAGAACGAAAGGACACAACTTTTAAAAACTAGAATTTTAAGTGTCGTTCTACTTCTAGATTGAATGTACGGAAAAACAACTTCTTTTTCGGTTGTTTAATCACTGTCTACTGGACGTTTCTCTCAATGTTCTCGTGTCCCTAAGAGTGATTTTCTCTGATATTAAGTAGATCAGAATGGTTCAGTCATATTTTGATTTAATCTAAAAATGGTGAAGCGAGGCTAAGTTTCGAACTATTAGTGTGGTGGTTGCAATTAATGCACACATTTTGTCAAATATTCGAAAAGTTAATAACTTCACTCGCATTAGAGCAATTTGACGAAATTTTCAATAAATTCAGTTTGCTTTCGAACTATTATATATACTGAGCGCCATGGAAAACGCATCACTTAGTTTTTCGTATAACAAAATGATCCTGTAAACATATCTTATTTATTTTGCTTCTTATTGTGAACAATATTCAAATGGGAACACATCAATAACAACACATTTGTACACTTATGGATGTTTAATCTGTAATCAAGGGTACACAGTCAGAGGGGTCAATACCAAAAGTACGACACAGATGTCAGTAGCGCGTGTGTCCTCCACAGGCCATCATCACGGTAGGCTGCAGCATTAACGCGACCCCTGCAAATGTGTAGGGTGGTCCGGTGATGAAATGTGAAGCCTCCCCACACCATTACACTTCCCCCACCCCATCGATTCATTTCGAAGACGCAGCAGTCTGCAAGACGTCTCCACACACGTTGACGGCCATCAGTGTGATAAAGATGAAAGCGACTCTCATCACTGAAGAGCACACTTTGCCAGTCTACTCTTCTCCATGTCTGGTGTCCTTGAGCCCATATCAAACGCCGCTGACGGTGATGATCCCTGAGAATAGCTCCAACATAAGGTCGTCGTGCACAGAGTCCTACTTCTCTTAGACAACGTCTTACGGTGTTGGCACTTACTGGTCCTTGTCCTCCGACGACTGCTGCACCTGTTTGAGTCGCTGGGCAGAATCTGTCACGCAGATAAGTGACCCGGATGTAGCGGACTGATGACAATTGAAGTGTCTGGCAATAGCACGTGTAGACATGCCAGCCCGGGACATTCCCATGGCTTCATTCCGTTGATTTTCAGTAAGTTTCGGCATCTCTAGCTCGATTCCTTCACATGTCCAACAACAAATTACGACAGATTGACGTTTCACAGTTCATGTACTGCACATTAAGTTGAAAACATGCTTTTAAAGGGCTCACACACAATGCTGCACGTGAATATTGGGTTTTTCATGTGCATCTCGTGCAATTTTTTTTTGTGCACACGGGCTGATATTTTTTGCATTTGGGAGCATTGTGTGAAACAATAGTTCATAGTATTGCATAATATTATACATACAAAACCACTTAGTAATAAAATATTTGGGAAAAAAAAGTGATGCGTTTTCCATGGCGCTCAGTATAGTAAGAATAGACAGCTCTTTATCTAAATCTTACAAAATGTATCTTTAATAATATACGTCAATCTGATTAAAGCACAGATCCTATTTCCTTTCGTTTTTTTATAGTTTAAAATTTTGTTTTACTTGTCTTTACTACCATATGATCTGGAAGAATTATTATATTTAATACACATGTATTACCAGCGTTTTGCTTGAAGTGGGGATAAGCCAACAAAACGATTTGTTACGGTTAAGTTTTTGGTGTGAGGTGCACAGAACTATGGGTAAACCACTAGAAACGACAATGCTGATTGATTAATCAAATGTCTGACGTCATAAGGTCAAAAGACGCTCGTGTGATACCTGACGCGACCTTCCACTACTGTACAACTGGTCAGATCTTAATGTAGTTCTAAGTCATCGCAAGTATAAAAAACGAAACAAAATATAGATCTGCATTTTATTCAGATTGTAATATATACGTATACATATAGTGATGGGGTCTGAAAAGCAAGCCAGAACTTAGATAATGAAAGCTTATATAAATTGATCTGTGAAAAATGTTTTACAAAATATAAATAGATTGTTTAAAATTATGATACAGTATTTTATTTAAATTATATAAAAGTAAAATTACAAAGAAAAAATGTACATATTCTGTATTTTCTCAATGTTGCAATTTATCAAAAAATTACATCGGATATATAGCAGTTACATATAAGCACAAATTAATTAATAAATAGATGTACAATGTATCTGTCGAGCAGAAAAATATAACCACTATTCAGTTAAAATCAGACTAACTTTAAGCTAGAATTGAATTGACCAATTAACCCTCCTTCAACTTTATTATTTTGAAATGTTGGGTTTTTTGATATACATGTAAGCTTACTTGTATTGATCTGTCCTTTATTAAAACTCTATTAATTAAATCACGCAAAAATAGAAAAGAGTTTTACAGAGGAGTTGAAATGAATACATGTAAAAGTATGGTAGATCTAAGATAGGTTGACATGTGCATAGTTGTAATGTACTTTAAACATATTCCCGGGAGCATTACTATATTACAACCCCTTCAATTTACAAATGTATTATAGACAATATTAGTTCGACCCTAGCTTAAGGTAGGCTCGCAAATTCCTTGCGGGAAGCACGGCAAAGCACGATGTACTTTTACCGAAACACGGTGAATTCCTAGAGAAACACGGTGAATTCCTAGAGAAAACACGGTGAATTCCTAGAGAAACACGGTGAATTCCTAGAGAAACACGGCGAATTCCTAGAGAAACACGGCGAATCTTAGAGAAAAATCGCCGCGGAATTAAGCGAAATTTCACCGTGAAATCTAAGAGAATTCGGAGTGTTTTTTTTCGCCGCGTCGGCGCGATTCTGGTCTCAAAAATTTGGTAGGAACTGTATGTAGTTAGCCCAGATATACATGTACATCCTGTCAACAGGAAAACAATTAAACTTACAAGTGTAAGAGTGCGTGTGCGTGCCTGGAATTTTACATTCACTTCCACCAAGGGTGATAAACAATCAAGAGTAGATTGAATAAGCTTATATCCAGTGATTTCAGTTATCAATCTGTTCAATCATCAATGTCTGTGGAAGAGAATTGAGATTAGTAGCAATGTGTGCTATTGTATCCATATATAAGTATGTAAATATATTGTTGACTTATTAAATAATAAAATATTGCTTAAATCAAATAAACTAAAAAGTACTATAATCCTTATAAGACATATAGAAGTAGATTTCACAAGTTAAAAACACTTATATGGATATACATGTACTACTTCTGAATTCATTAACATGCTACCTTTTGATACACATACAGAAGATATCTTTATCATAATCATATCTGTATCATGTGTATCGAAACGTATCATGATAATAAATTCAGAAGTAGTACATGTATATCCATATAAGTGATTTTAACTTAAAAAGTACTAGATACATGTAGTGCTGTGTTCATATACTGATACACCAATACGTATAGATACTTTCGAGCAATATTCATATCAATACGAGAATTGCAAGAATATCATCTTGCTGTTTCGATGAAAAATGTATTTGTAGAGAAAGACAATGATCCTGCTGATAATAAAGACTAAAATGATATATTGCTAAGCCACATGATGTATTAACAGGACTTTTGTCTTGGTACCATAATAGACATTTATACATAAACTTTGGTTTGATTCGAACATTATAAAATAGGCTTTAAAAAAAATGAAGGTTTGAGATATACATGTATAGAAAGCTTGAGCATAATTTGGACATAAATATTGACCTCACTGTATTGCAATCAGCAATATGTACATATAGCGTCTTGTATGGGCAATACACATTGTGTCTAAAAATAAACAGTATTAGCATAGTACATGTATAGTCTAGTTAAAGATACATTATGGGAGATTAGATAAAGAATTGACAGTTCTCACTATGATATTTAAACACTAGATAATGTAAAGGGAATTTGCTGAAAATTTCAGTCAAATTGATCCACTCCAGCTGTACCAAGAATTTAGCAATTGTATTTTAGGCCTAGCCTCGATCATCATTACTTAAGTTGGTATGATAAAAGTCTCGATTACATGTATGAATTTCATGATTAAATTCGAATGAAAGTTGAGCAGCAAATTGGATCCTAATCCAGTAAATATCACAGGATAGCGATGACATCAAGAGTTGATTATATGATCTGGATAAGTTAATTAAACATGCATTATGCAAGAGCTAAATCTGATTATTGCAAGTCTTAATTTAGGCTTCAGATGTTATAGAAATTATAAATTAGATCTTTATTTAAACAACAAGACCAAAATCAACTCTGTAGACCCACGGATGGCTCGGCTACAGCTCAGATTTAAATAGGATTTCACTAATTGATTAAATCAAATAAGGGATAACCTGATGAAAATACGAGGCTAAATGATTGAGTGTACTTAGCGAGGCCGCTGTAAAGCGTTTCGGTATGCCATTGAAAACTTTACTTGATAATCGAGATATGTAGGTGGAGTTAACGCCTGTCAATCAAACGATCAGCGAAGGTGAAGACACAATTCTCTACCATTTCTAGGCAAATATTACAACGATGATAACTATGTTCAGAATAAAGTAATTTGACTGATTTTTTCAATATATTCTTCTTTCATCATCTTCTTTTGAACTGTTATAGCAAGAATGGCCAACTCTCTATAAAAATCTCCCATAAGGCTGACCTTAAAAATATCTTTGTTTCGCCTAACGCGACCGACTAACTAAAACCACCCCCGACTTAAATTATTTTATTGCACTGTTCCGCGATCTTTTTATTTTATTTTGTGTGTCAACCTGAAATATATCACGAGAGTTATTTCCCTTTACTATGGCTATGGTTTGATTCATTATTGAAACTGGTTGATCAAGACGAAAGCGTCATAGGTGTCGCTTCTCAACAAAATGGTTGCAGACGAAAGCACGTCCATTCCCACGAAATGATTCTGCCTCTATGTCTGTGGGGCGTCGTTTTAAACATGACGACGATATTTTCAATATCCGTTTTCGAGAAAAATGAAGGCACAACCCGCACGATCGTTAAAAACGTGTTGAGGGAGTTTCAAACGTGAGTTTGTGGCAATTTGTGTGCGAGTCGTGCATCAAGAAAAATCCCGATGTCATTGATTTGTTTGCCAATAAAAGAAGACGAATGTTTGCACCCGAAAAATTATCAAGCTGTCAAATTAGCTCTTAAAAAAAAAATCTGAAAAAAAACCCGACCTACCGACCCTTCTCCTCGATTGTGGGTCGGGTTTGGTGAAACAAAGATATTTTTAAGGTCAGCCTAATGTATCTTTAATGTCTAATTAATAATTTAGATAACATTTCAGGCCTAAAGAAAGACCTGCAATAGGCAGATTTAGCTCCAGCATAATGTAGGTTTAAAATGTCACCTTCCACAGTACAAGTATAGTATAAATATACTTGAATGACAGATGTACATGTACATGTACAGTACCGGTATAAATAAAGATTTGAATTGACAGATGTACATGTACATGTATCAGATTGGTTTAATTAGATTAAGTAACAGGTTTAACAACTTGTTTAATGAGGTCGTTAGACAGAGTTCATGTGTTTAAATTGACACATTGATTATAAAAACAATGACTGTGTGCATTTGAGTTGTTATAAGGTCACAGATGGCACAAGGCTTGAATTGCTAATACCTGATTGATTTAGAGGTAGAGATTAACATGTAGAATATACCAATAAGAATTCGATGACCTGATGTAATATCAATCTTGGTGAAAGTGGATGTAAAAATTGGTGAAAGTGGATGTAAAACTCTTGAGAAGGAGAAGAAGAATTGTAATATCAGCCTGTTTATACCGGTATATGTTTACTAGGAAATACACCTTAAATGTCATGTACATGTATTTTCTAGTGTATTAAACATGATGTTATGCTAGATGTTCAGAGTTAAATATACATGTACTGTATAAAGCGAATACATGTACATGTATTGTCTTGTGTATTAATAATGGTGTTATGTTAAATGTTCAGAGTCAAATATACACTGATACATGTATATGTACTCTATAAAGTGAATAGATGTACATGCATTGTCTAGTAAAATAAACATGGTGTTATGCTAGATGTTCAGAGTCAAATATAGATGTACACATGTACTGTACATGTGTGTATCAATTGAATACATGTAAATTTATTCTTTTTAATTCCATCTGATACTTGTATTGTCTACTGTATTAAACTAATTGGTGTTATACATATGTACTAGATGTTAGGATAAAGTCAAATATACATGTACTGTATACTTAAATTTAGAATGGGAATTCCCGAATTATGTAAGTTTATTCTTTGTAATTCCTACTGTAACATGTATAAAGTTACATATGACACAAGTCTTAATGCAGGGTTTCCGCGGTCCTTGAAAATCCTTGAATATCCTTAAATTTAAAATTTCATTTTCAAGGTCTTGAATATTCTTGAATTTCGGGGAAATAGGAAAATATCCTTGAATTTCAGTTGAGATCCTTAATTTTGTTGCAAATGTCTTCAATTCCTTTTAAATATGAGATTATTATGATAGTTGGTAATGTTTTGGTTATTTTTAAGATGAAAAATTGTAACTTTAGGCTAAAAAATGTCCTTGAAAATCCTTGAATTTGATGTATATTTATCCTTGAATATCCTTGAAAAAATGTTTGACAAACCCTGTAATGGTGTGTAGTTCAACAGATTATACATGTATGGTCTGGCCTTCTAATGGCTATTTTAGTATCAAAGCCATACTATGGTCAAGACAGCTGATTATGACCATTGTCATGTGACCCTTGATTCAATATATTAATATACAGGTGATAATTCTATGAAATATAATTACTGCTTATTACTGTGCGACGTTTCAACTAGGTTTCTCTAGTCATTATCAAGCTCAGTAATTGATTTCCATAGAATTGTCACCTGTATATTCCAGTTCTATTACTAAATGTCATTGAAACAATATATTAATTCATGAATTATTTATTCCAGGAATGTAAATCTGATTTTAACAGAGAAATGGCGAGAATGTAATTAAGACGTTATATTGTCTACTATTGGTAGATATATAGAAATGTCGTGGAAGTCACCTGACGAAGCAGCAACCAATCAAACTAATGTACCAGGTTAGTTATGTTTATTTATATTAAAGGGGAGCTGCAGTGGTTCAGTGAGTAAGCCACTGGCTCACTAACCAGGGGATCTGATCACAGATTCTATTTCGTTTCGTTTTTAACAGTTCAAAATTTCGATTTACTTGTCTTTACTACACTAGGATTGGGAGGAGTTTGTATATAATAACCCACGTTGTGGTTGATGTGAGGGATTAGCCAATCAAATGATCTGTTATTGAGTCAACTGGCGTGGTTTCAATTCCCTGGTTGTATGCGACAAGGAGTACATGTACATGTAGGGTTGCCTGTCCTACCTCATGGATTTTCCCCAGGTCGTTCCACTACTAAATTCCCCAATGCGCAAGTGAATTATTGAGATAAAATTAAACGATATGCTAATCCCGAAATGACATAGTTTGTTTCCAGTGGATTAAACCCCCTCTCTCTCTCATTGTATAGATGAGCATGTAAATGTATTAATAAGAAGAATAACTTTATGCTAGTCTCACCGTAAATAGTGGGTTGACACGATTTCTTATTATACTAATCTACTTCAATAAAAACGTGGTTTATTCTTTCTTACAGATTACCAAAAGATGCTTCAGGCACCCCCGTATCCAGGTAGGATATTTAGTTTATTTGTTGGGGAATGAACTAATAACCGATTGAATCGAATTGGGTTTGAAGAAATGGGCATTTCAGATGGCATTTATTGGAAAGAGTTCTTGACTTAGATGGCCGAATGGTTAGCACATCCTTGCTGTATCATAAGGTCTGTTATTGAGTCAACTGGCGTGGTTTTGATTCCTCAGTGGTACATGACAATAAAATTGAACCTTGTGTTAGTCCCAAAATGACTTAGTTTGTGTCGAGTGATGCAGGACAGAAGGACTGACAAGGTCCTGTTTACACATGTAAAAGATCACTTGGCAGTTGGTATTGTTATAAGATTAGGCTGTAGCGCCGCTGTCGAGGCAAAATTTCCCTCACAGACACTGCCTGTCTTCATTAGCCCAATTGGAGCAGAACAGTAGGACGTAAAACGCCATTTCATTTCATATGAACCAAAAAAGCTACATTAAACATTTATTTGATCATTGTGTCTGTATTTTATTTATCAGGATGGGGTGAATCTGATGAAACTCACCGGCCAGCTCGATCTCACAGTCCAGTTCCTAGTCATACATATAGCACGGAGAACACACATGAACCACGAATATATCAACCTGGCAAATATACCATGGTGCCAGGAAGTAGTCACTACGATCCCCCATACAGGGAATACGAACCCGTGAGAAGGGACCCGACCACCGTGCAGTATTTAAGTAGCGATGGCTACGAAAAAATCGGACACGATAATGATTTCACTTATAAAACTTTACCCTTCAAATCTCGGGCCGGTCAGCAGTATAGTTCAGGACATTCCTATAGGGTTCCAGCGTCACATTCGAATCAGGCAGAAATGATATACAGAACGCCTGTTAAGTCGGGTTCGGGGCATGACGGTTTTGAGAGAGAGCGTAACCTTCCCCCTGCAGGTCCAGGATACGTTCGGCGTGAGAATGTTCCGGGGCCTGGAACAAGTTTACATTCGTCGGGGAACCTGCGTCATTCTACGGGTGATTTACGGCATTGGCAACAATTACATCAAGAACAGCTACTCCATCAACACATAGAAACACAGGTAAAACATAATATAAAAAAGGTTAAAATTGAAATTTTAATATTGTCAGTGATATCACTTCGGTGGAGGCAGACTTTAAATTAATAAAACTATCAAACACACACTATAGCAAGGAGTGGTGGATGGCTGAATGGTTAGTGCATGCGAGTTGTATCATAAGGTCTGTCATTGAGTCAACTGGCTTAGTTTCGATTCTCCAGTTGTAGTGACAAGGAGTAGAGTCCTCCAGTTCCCTCTCACTGCTAATAAGACCCCCTACTCTCTCTCTCTCTCTCTCTCTCTCTCTCTAGAAAAAGAAGAGTATCTAAGCTTCATTTCCAATATGGTAAAAGTAATGGAAATAAAACAAATTGAAATTAGTAATAGATATTGAGCATATATATGAAATTGATTATATATATTATGTAATACAGTTATTGAATATTTCAGGCACTGTATGATAAACCAGCATCAATATCTATAGATAATTTATTTAAACAACTGAGTTTAAAAGAGGAAGATGCCTCACGATGGGAGCCAATTCGTCGTGCTGCTGATGGTATTATTCAAGAAAAAAATATGATTATTGAAAAGTAAGATTTTAATAAAATTATTTGTCTGAATATTCTTGACTTATCACGCTCAATTTGCTTTTCAAAATCTTTGTCGAGATCTAAAAGTTTTAAAAGATAAAAGGCGAGGGAACAAGAATTTGAGGATTTTCAATAGCATGAAGACGTGGGAGGGCAAGAATTTGTGAAAATATAATATTGAGTTCTTGACATGAGGTTTACGATGTTTCGTTCTATTTCCTCACATTCCTGCACTTTCAACTTCTGAACCTCGATCAGTTTTTTTATAGTTTAAAATTTTGTTTTATTTGTCCATACTAAACTAGGGTCTGGAAGATTTTTTTATATAACCTGCGTTCTGGATGGCATGAGGGATTGTCCAATGAATCTATCTCATGCGGCGACTCTTTGGCGTTCAATGCACATAACTGTGGGTAAACCACTAGAAACGTCAATGCTGCTTGATTAATAAATGTCTGACGTCATAGGGTCAAAAGCCAAATGACCTGACGCGACCTTTTTCTACAACTTGTCAGATCTTCATGTATTGTAGGCCATCGAAAGTATAAAAAATGAAATATAGATCTGTATTCTAATCAGATTGTAGATAAAGAATTGTATTTCCACACATTGCGACACTCTTAACCGACTTCCATACTTATAAGATAATTGGGGGGGTTGGATGGCCGAATGGTTAGCATGTGCGCGCTGTATCATAAGGTCTGTCATTGAGTCGACTGGCGTGGTTTCGATTCCCTGTTTGTACGTGACACGAAGTAGGTTCGCATGTCCAACCTCATGTGTTTTATCTGGGTCCTCTGGTTTCTTCTCACTGCTAAAGAACTCTACGCTCAAGCGGATTATTGAAATAAAATTGTACCATATTTTAGTCCTGAAAATAACCTAGTTTGTGTAAAGTGGACGTTAAACCACATCTGTCTCTCTCTCTCTCTCTCTCTCTCTCTCTCTCTCTTAGATAATTAAAATATGTTTGTTTAATTTTGTAGGTTAAAGAATCGTATTTTACAGTTAGAAGAAGATTGTAGTGTAAATGAAAGTCGTTTAAAACATGCTTTAATAACAAATGACGATCAGGGGGACTCTACTCACCTGAAATTACAGGTAAATCATAATTATTTTCAATTGTTCTCAAAGTTTTAAAAATCATCTATGTATAATTCGTGAAAATTTTGGTGTTTACTCGACATTGCATAGTCTGTTAATTACTCAACACCACTCTGGAAAGTAAATCCAACATTCATTATCTAATGAAGATGGACCATTTAAAACTGTGCGTCTGGCAAGGGAAACGTATAGTTGTTCGTATGGGACAAAAAAACGAGGTCCTGTGTACACATTGGCATGCATGTAAAAGACCCCTTAATAGAATTCAATATAAGAGCAGACCATAGCGCCGTTGTCCGGGCAAGTTTCCCTCATAGCACATTGTATGCCCGTCTTCATTAGCCCAGTCGGAACAGAAAAGTAGGACATTAAACTCCATTTCATTTCATTTAAACTATGCAACAATAGGAATCAAATATTTTTCTATGATTCTCAACAAATTTGAACAATTTGCCAACAATGGTTTGAATACAGAAACTCCCACTAAAACAGCTCAGTTACACGGTACCCAAGTTGTAGTGTATCGCACCCTTAGTGGATGCCCGAATGGTTAGCACCTGCGCTTTATCATAAGTCTGTCATTGAGTTAACTGGCATGGTTTCGATCCCCGTTGTATGTGACAAAGAGTAGGGTCGCCTGTCCTCCGGTTTCCTCCCATTGCTAATAGACCCCTACGTGCAAGTGAATTATTGAAATAAAATTGAACCATATATTAGTCCCGAAATGACCTCTCTCTCTCTCTCTCTCTCTCTCTCTCACTCTCACTCTCTCACTCTATTTCTATCTATTCAGGGTGGCTCCCTGTTCTCTAGTATTTCTACCTTTTTTTATTTATTTGTGTCGTTTACTGATGTCATGGATATTTTCAGGAACTACAGTATAAATATGCAGCTCTGAAGACGGAGATGATTGACACCAGATCTCAGAAAAATATAGAAATAGATGAACTAGGTTTAAAATTAGGGTGAATATACATACATTTTAAAATTTACTTTATATAAAACCATGTATATAGGCCTCAACCATTTCGTTCAGTCCTGTCTAGTTGTTGTGCTGACAACTCGGTATATTGTACGGAAGAACAGTTTTTATTCTTTCTTTTCTTATGCGATAGTTGGAGGGGGCCAGAGCAGCTCAAGGAGTATCAGTCTGATTAAAATCAGGGCTGGGGCCATTACATTGCCAATGTAATTAATTACATTACCATTACCATTACTTTTTAAATGTAATCATTACAATTACTTTCTCATTTTTAGCAATGTAATTAATTACCATTACCCATTACATTGAAAGTAATTAATTACCATTACCCATTACTTTATGACTATATAAATAAAAAAACATTTTCATAGAAAGACAACATTGTTTTTCTGCCATGAAGTACCTACAAAATCAAACTCAAAATAATCCTTGATTCACTTAATAGATATTTGTTTATGAATTATTATCTCTAGCAATTATAACATCAAGGCAAATTTTATAGTGACGGGCAGTGATGACAAAAACTGACATTTTCACTGTATGACTTGAAAAATGAATCAAAACTATAGTTAATTAACTGTATTTTCTTTTAAGTAATTTGTTATAAATTTAATCAGTCCAAATAGTTTTTCTATAATATATTGTATAATAAATGGTAAATTATTCAGCATGACTTTAAAACAAAATATATATTAGTTTTAAGTAACCATAGAATGATGAGATACTTGAAGGTCATTGTTTGGTTTGTCACTTGTTACCTTGAGATTAAGATTAAAGTGCAGTGATACTATTTATTGTCTTTTAATCTAACTGACTGATTGATTGATTGATTGATTGGCCACAAAGTAGTACTAATCTTTGATTATAATATACATCTTATCAGAAATCCACTTCTTAGGTTACATGTATAAAAAAAGGTTCCTACATAAAAAGTAATAAAAGAAAATGTTTAATGCCTTCTTATTTTTCTTATAATTTTTTAAAACTGATTTAAATCTTTTTTTTAGAATTATAATGAATTGGATTTGTGTCAGATACACCTAATTACTTCTTTGGTGCTATAAAATTTGAGGCTTGTCACATTGGAAATATTTATATATGTCATAAAATGTAATTGAAAAGTAATTGAAATGTAATTGACCATTACATGATTTTTGGAATGTAATTAATTACATTTCCATTACTCATTACTTTTGAAATCTTCCATTACTCATTACATGGCCATTACTTAAAAAATGTAATGATTACATTCCATTACCATTACCCATTACCATTACCCCAGCCCTGATTAAAATACAGATCTATATTTCGTTTCTTTTTTTTTATACTTTCAATGGCCTACACTACATGAAGATCTGACCAGTTGTAGCGATAGGTCGCGTCAGAGGTCATACGAGCGGCTTTTGAGCCTATGCGTCAGATTAACCAATCAGCATTGATGTTACTAGTGGATTACCCACAGTTCCGTGCAAAACACGTCTAAAGCTCGCCGTAACAGACCGTTTCATTGGCTAATCCCTCACGTCAATGATAACAACAGTACTCTTCCAGATCCTAGTGTAGTTAAGACCAGTAAAACGAAATTTTTAACTATAAAAATGAAACAAAATAGAATCTGTGTTTTGATGAGATTGAATGAGTATGGGACTGACTCACAAATCAGGATGTACAGGATTTGATCCTGATGTTTCAGCAGAAAACTAGACTTTAAACCTACATTATTCAAGAGCTAAATCTGCCTATTGCAGGTCTTTCTTTAGGCCTGAAATGTTACATGAATTATTACTTAGACATTAATTAACTTATCAAGGCCATAATCAGGTCTCGATGGCATCCGATTTCTCCGATATTAAATAGCTTAGAACAGTTCAGCCATATTTTTATTTAAGCTAAAAATGCAGAAGCGAGACTTAGCTCCGAACAATCAGTACGGTGGTTGAAATTATTGCACATGTCTTGTCAATCCTTCAAAGACTAATATCTTCGCTCATAATGGAGTAATTTGAATGAAATTTGCAAATTTTTCATTTTACATTATCTATTTTCGAACTATGGCTAGCTCTTTATCTAAATCTTACATAGTGTATCTTTAAACTCCATTTGATTTCATTTGATTTGTGTCTTGTTTATAAATAGTATTAAACTGTGTATTACAGTGCTGCTGAATATGAACTAGATCAGATGAAGAAATCTATTAAATCTAGAGATACCAACACATCAGAACTTCATATCAAGGTTTGTTTCATCATGTATTATACCAATCTAGTCCAGGGAGGTGGGTAGGGTGGTCGAATGGTCTAATGCATGCACTTTAGATCATAATGTCTGTCATTGAGTCAAATGGCGAGGTTTTGATCCAAGCTTGTATGTGACAATGTTAGGGTTGTCTGCCCAATCTCATGGCTTTTCTTTGAGTCTCCCATTTTCCTTCCACTGTTAAATAAGCTTGTCCATATGTTAGTCCAGAAATGAACTAGTTTGTTAAACCCCATTTTTCTCTCTCCTGCGTATAGGTGCAGATTCTTGTCAAGTCATCTGTTGACCTATTCCCCCAAAAATATGGTGCTTTGAAATATCTGATGATTTTACTTTTGGTGTTTAATCCATTTACTTTGTATATTTTCTTAATTTTGTATATTTTAGTTGAAACAGAAAGAAATAGAATCTGTTGAATGGCAGAAGAAGTTTAATGAAATGAAGGAAAGTTCTGTGGACTTGAAACGTAAACTTGATAGTTTAGGAAAATATCTTGGTGATCTACCAACCACTGAAGAAACAACTAAAACAGCACAAGAAATATCCTTTTAATAAATATACTCATGGTTTAAAGTGGCTGATCGACATTTGCGTTATTCTGACAGAAATGAAATGAATTGGATTCCTATTGTTGCGCAGTTTAAATGAAATGAAATGGGGTTTATCGTCCTACTGTTCTGCTCCTACTTGGCTAATGAAGACGGGCATACGCCATACAGTGTGCTATGAGAGAAATTTTGCCCAGGCAACGGCACTATTGATCACTCTTACATTGAATTCCAACTGCCAAGGGATCTTATACGTGCATACCAATGTATACACAGGACCTCGTTTTTTTTTATCCCATCCCATTCTTGTGAGGCACTCTGTCTTGCACCACTGACAAGGGGAAAGCACGTCAGAAAATTCCAATGAACTTTCTTGGCCAATGCAGGGATGGAACCCAAGACCTCCAGAGTAGCAAGTCAGCGTCTTACCCACTTAGCCACTGTGGCTGCATTTTTCTTCGGACAATATTCACCAGCTTGGTAAAAAGAATTAACCATATGTTACTCGCAGAATGATCAAAGATGTTAAACCCCATTCCATTCTCTTATACTAATTCATTTTTTCTTCCTTAATTCCTTCTCACTGTCAGAAATTAAAAGAAGAAGCAAGTCTAAAAGACACAAAAATACACGAGTTAGAACGTAAACTGAATCATGCGAGAAAAGTTTTATCTCATAAAGAATTTCAACATCGTGAGATGACCGATGCCGAGCGGCATTTACAAGAAAAAATCAAAGCTTTAACGGATGAAAATGAAAGATTAAAGTTGGATGATATGGCTGCTGCCTTGTTCAACGCTCAGGAAGATCTACGAGAAGTAAAGGAAGAAAAAGAAAGACTGGCCATTGATTTAGAAAAGGCTAAAAAGGTAGGAAATCTTTTATTCTACTTATGCAGTTCAGAAAATCTCCTCCATAGGCAAATGAGATGACATATTGTTGAAGAATCATTGCTTAATATATACTAGCTGTGTTACCAGGCATGCCTTGTCTGGGAGAGAGTGTTTTGATCCCCAGTTTATACGTGAATCTCAGCTGCTTAATACCCAAACACACAGACAAATTATTGAAATTAAATTGAATCATATCTTAATCCTGAAGTGGCCTTGTTTGTGTTCAGTGGACGTTATACACAATTCTGTCTGTCATTGAGTCAAGTGAAGTGGTTTCGATTCTATGCTTGTATATGACAAGGAGTGGGGTCGGCTATCCACTCTCGTGGGTTTTTCCCCCACATCCTCCAGTTTTCTCCCACTGCTGAAGACCTCTAACAAACTATTGAGATAAAATTGAATTGAACCATATCTCTCTCTCTCTCTCTCTCTCTCTCTCTCTCTCTCTCATTTATACTAATGTTGTATTGTTGTTTTCTTCAGCTTTTAGAAGGAACACATCGTAAGTTACGACATCAAGAAGTTAAATATCAGACAGAGCTGCGTCAGTTTACGGAGCGTGTTGGACAGGAGGAGGAATCTGTCGAGATATTACGTCAAGAAATCAGTAAAAAAGATGAACAGATGAATAAGATGAGGAAGGGAATGAAAGATGTAAGTTAATAATACAATAGGACTCCTAGAAATAAACACCCTGTTACAGAGAATGTCATACTCAGTTACTCTGGTGCCTGTCCTTAATGTAAAACTACATGTTTAACTACACTTTAGTCTCTAAGTCAAACACGGGTTGGGTTGCCGAATGGTAAGCGCGAGCACGTTGTATCATTAGGTCCCGTCTGTCATTGAGTCAGTTGGCGTTGTTTCGATTCCCCGCTTGTACGTGACAAGGATTAGGGTTGCCTTTCTCCGGGTCCTTCGGTTTCCTCCCACTGCTTAAGACCCCTATGTGCAAGCGAATTATTGACCTAGTTTGTGTCGAGTGGACGTAAAACCCCATTTCTTTCAAAGTCAAAGACTCCATCCAACTGACTCCAATAACTAATTAAAGGGAGGAAACTCTTCCATGACAGGCAGCATTAGCAAACAATGCATGGATGATATGATGAGATATAATTACTGTATCTGGCACATAGTTGTCTTTTTTTCAGTGTTTTTGTTATTTTTTTGTCTGGTTGTCAGGCACACTGTTGAAAATGTCAGGTACAAGTTTAATAGGTCCCCATTACATACATGACTAGGGGGGATGCTCGATTGTTAGTCTGGAACATCCCAAATTGACGGAATTGCAATCGTGTGACACAGAATTCAGTCCTGTCACAGTTCTGTCAGTCCCGACTACAGAGGTGGTGTGAGTAGAATCGTGATGTAATTAAACACAACAAATATGTTTCAGCTGTCATGGTTGGTTGAGATATTTCCTCGTGCAGTCGGCACTATGCATTCTAGCCCCAAATCTGTATTTTCACTCGTTTGTCACTATTTTAGTTTGATAGAATTAAATTCCAGAACGTACTATTGAGCATTGCCTAGGATTCCATTATTCCACTGAAGAATATAACACAGTCTTTGTTATTACATAGGTTAGCTGTGTGGTTTGGGTCCAAGACAGTTGCCCCCTCGGACAATTGCCCCCAGTACCCATCCACTCCTGAAAACAACCACTTTTAATTTTCAAATATTAGTCATTATATTTCTTTTTGTGTCTTTTCAGCTGAATACCCAGCATCAGGATCTGATGGAACAGAATTTAATATTAAAAGATCAGTTAAAACAGTTTGAAATGAAATGTACAGACGAGAATTTGAAACAACAGAGGAGATTCATGCAGGAGTTGGGATTATGTTTTTCTGAGCTGCAATCATTAGTACATATCTGTACACAACGTGCCAAGGGAGAAGATCCTAATATGTCTATATTACTAGGAGTAGGATGTAAGTCATCAATTCTTCAATCATGGGGGGGGGGGGGGAGTATGGCCGAATGGTTAGCCCGTGTGCGCTCTGTCATAAGTTCGGTCATTGAATCAATAAGCGGCGTTTCGATTCCCCGGTTGTACGTGACAAGAAGTAGGGTCGTCTGTCCAACCTCGTGGGTTTTCTCCGGGTCCTCCGGTTTCCTCCCACTGCTAAAGACCCCTACGCGCAAGCGAATTATTGAAATAAAATTGAACCATGTGTTAGTTCTGAAATGACCTAGTTTGTGTCGAGTGGACTTAAACCCCATTTCTCTCTCTCTCTCTCTCTCTCTCTCTCTCTCTTCGTGGGTTGTAATACTATGGTCTTTGTGACCATATTGTATCTTTAACTAATTGTTTGGTTCACACTTTCTATAGAGTCAAATCACAAATGAATTGAGTGATGTATTTATACATAAAAAACAGTGATATTTTGGTAAAATTATTACCATTGTCAAAATATCCATCAAATACTATCTTGTTGATAACATGTGTTTGGTGGACCAAATAAGGTAATGTTCTCCTCCTGGTTTTTGGGGTAGGGGGATGTTTATTTCATATTTGGGGAGGAAATTAACACCAATGTCATTGATGATTAATTAAAAAAAATGGATAATCAAGACTATGTTTTTTTATCGTATCAACTTTAGTAATGATGATGGAGGCTAGACCTAAAATTCAATTGCTAAATTCTCGGTTGAGAGTTGATCAATTTGACTGAAATTTTCAGCATATCCTCTTTATATTATCTATTTTTAACTATTATAGTGAAAACTACCAGCTCTTTGTCTAATCTTCCATAATGTACATGTAGGGTGACCCACCATAAATAAATATCTCCATATATCTCGACAATTTCGCCACAATATTTATATATATGCCAAGCCTCAAATCAGTTTCACACAATTATAGTCACTAAATAAACGATCATGTTGTACTTAATAAGCTATGACCATTAATCATCTATAAATAATAGACTGAAAACTGGTTCCATGTGTCGTCCATAACATCCAGACACTTTTGAGTAAAAGATAGGTTACGTGCCCTTGTTTTGAAATTAGTCTCGCTTAACCAGTCTATCGACCATTCTAGGGCTGATTGACAGGTCGGGATAATCAAGACTACTTTTTTACGAAACATAACAGAAAGCTAGAACAAGAAATTGAATTTAGAAATGAGCACGTTAGCTAGCTCAACAATTGTTTTAAGAAGCTTGTAAAAGTAAAATGAAACTACTGCTAGTATCATGTTCCTGTCTAACCTGAGTGTTTCTGAGATATTATTTGTACTAAACCAAAAGATGCCGCTCTTAACGGTACAGTTAATGATAAAGCGATTTAAAAAATGAAACGAACGTAATTTCTAAATCTGCTGTAATAACCAAGAAGCTTAATTTCACTGCTATTCAAAATCGTCAACAATAATTTTTTTACGGCTGTAATAGTTGATAGATTTGTAGAGAATTGCACGTGCCATGGCTATTTATAGTATCATACTGTCAGAAAGTTGGCCTCGACACGGCGAATGTGCACGCTTCAGTGGTAGTCTCGAACTATCAGCGGTGGACTGTATTTCTGTAGGTGTGTGGGCCACCCTAGTACATGTATCTTTAAGCGAGCTGCACTGATAATTTTATACCAGAATAAAATAATGAATTGATTTTGAATCGATTGAAATTTCTGCAGATCAATAATATCCTCAATTTATCTATAACATTGTCTTGTCATTTCAGCTGTTGGATTAAATGACGGTGGTGTAGGGGGTGGGGCTTCAAACAATGATATGGAAGGACAAACCATCGCCCAGTGGACTTCAAAATTAAAGGAGTTACGTGTGGAAGTTGATCGTTTACGACAATTTATCAGCAATAAATACGCTGAAGATATGGCGGACAATATAAATTGTACGACACAGTAGGATTGATCAAGATATGGCGGACAATATAAACTGTACAACAAAGTAGGATTGATCAAGATATGGTGGACAGTATTAACTGTGCAACGCAATGGGAAAACTCAGTGATAAATTACGATATGCATTGAATAAGGGTTTTTAAAGGACCTGTTTAATGTTAAAATTAACGACATGCATTGAATAAAGGTTTTTAAAGGAACTGTTTAATGTGAAATAAACGATATGCATTGAATAAGGGCTATAAAGTGTCTGTTTAATGTGTAATTAATGATATACATTGAATAACGGATATAAAGTGTCTGTTTTCCCTCATTCATTATGAAATTGAAGATATGCATTTAAATAGGGCTTAAAGAGCCTGATTCTCTCTTCCATTATCATGTAAATGGCCCTTATATTAAGATGGCTTTAATTTATGAAATCCAAAAATTGTGCTGCTTGGATCCTTGATTTACTTACTTGCATGTTTTTTATGATTATAATCCAGCTATAATGCATGTGCTTGTGCTTATGCTTTTGTTATTTAGCTCCGTTATCTAATTTGAAATAAATAACCCCAAAATATTGAAATCAGGTGATAGATAATTTGAAATCCTGATACCTAGGTGATGAATTTCTGGTCTATATTGATAATTTAGACTGATAAATTTTTTGTAATTTTCTGTTTAGTAGACGGATAAGTATATTGAACTTTTCTGATAAATTTTGTTCACTTTTCGAATCGGCTGATCAATATTTTGAAATTTTCAAATAGACTGATCAGTATTTTGAAATTTTCAATTTAGACCAATCAATATTTTGAAATTTTCAATTTAGACCAATCAATATTTTGAAATCCTTATATGTGCAATAGGGAAATTGATTTTTTGTTAACCCTTTAAGTGATGAATATTTTGAAATCCTTATAATAGGATTATAACTACTTTGAACTAAACAGTAAAGGCCATGAATATTATTAATTTTCATTTTTAGTTCATTTTTAGGCCGATAAATATTTATGATATTAGCAATCAAGTCTCTGCAGTCCTTCACGTTTAAAGTGCGCTATCGCTCCTGCTCCTCTCGACACACCGCTAAATCGCTCTCCTTAATATTGAGATTGATAAACTAATTTCAGTTTTAAACTGCATACGTTCGAGCTATCAGTTTCCATAATGACAATTTTGATGCTACCATATTCACCAAACATTTTCACCAGAAAACTAAGGAATAAATACAATTTGGCTCACCTTTATTTAAGAAAATATAGAATTACTCTTGCAATATAATTAAGAGATTTTTTTATGGAAGCTTTTTTCTCTTTTTCTTAAATTGATAGAAGCTTTTTATGGCTCCTGCACAATTTTATAAACGTGAATGACTGGTTCCTGATGAGGTAGATATTTTATAAACGTGAAGGACTGGTCTCTGATGAGATAGATATTTTATAAACGTGAAGGACTGGTCTCTGATGATGTTCAGTTAGGATGATACATATTTTGATTAGAAGGTAATCATCCCATATTGTAGATAATTTCATGTGATTTAGGTAGTGTGATGTGAATTATATATCACACTATGACTTACTCAACTTATGTATGATCACACTGTGAATTAATCAACTTGCCATGAATGGATGGAGAAATCTCAACAAAATACATTCAGGACTTGAAATAACAGTCTTAGTTATATCGGGCAAAATGTCTTGTTACTAATAAACAGGTCAGTTCACAAAGCATTCCCAGGTTTAAGTTAAGAATTGACTCAACTTTCAATATCCCTTGTTGTACATGACAAGGAGTGGGGTCGCCTGTCCAACCTCGAGGGTTTTCAACAAATGTTTATGTGAAATATCTTTGATCCAGAAACACAAAGCTTATTGATGCATTTGATACATTAAAACAACAAAAGTTTTATAAAGGGCTAAAAAAAAAGGCAAACAATTTTGTGTAAATTCTAAACTTAAATCTGAAAAATGGTTTGTGAAACTGGGGCCTGGTTAGGTTATATTTTGAACTTTGTGCCAGACATGTTATATATAAATATCTATAAAAATACTAAAAATAGTCAAATAATTAACCAGACAAAAAAACACACACATAGGGATTATGTGAACAGAATTTGTTTTTTAATGAATGGTCTAAAAAACATCACATGAATTGAGACTTACCATATTTAATAAACTCGTTTGTTTTGTCTTTTCGAAAAAGAGAATGATTTTCTTAGGAAAGCAATACAAGATTTAGGATCATATATTTTTTTTGTTATTTATGTTTTATGAAAGAATCTGACTGTATCAAGGAACTGATAAATATCTCCAACACTTATCATCATCATCAGGATCAGAAATGCCTTGATGCAGTTCGATTATGTTATAAATATAATGACGATAAAATTATAAAGGAACAGTCTCCCTTAGTCATAATAAATTACCATGAACATTTTGTTCTGACTAGAGTCAGATTAAGGCACAGGCTTCAGGGTTGTGATCCAGAGACCATTACCAAGTGTAGAGCCTCCTGAGATGAAGTGAAAAGTTATTTCATTTGTGAACAATGAATCAAAATATTGTTTGGAGAAATTTGTTACCACAAAATTAGGGAAAGCTAATATTTGAATTTTAATTGTTGTCAGCCTTGTAAAAGTAAATCGAATTTATCTTTCCTTTTGAGAATATTACTGGATCCCTACAATACTAGTAGCTAGTAGCCCAGAGCCAGGGACTTATAAATCTTAATCCGACTCTAGTTCTATATTTAAGATAAATGTTTATATGAATAGATATTAGCCTGTGATTTTGTTAAATCAGTATTATAAAGGAGGAACGATCTGTGTTACTTATATATATATATATAATCATATCATACTGGTTATGTGATTGAATTTGTCAAAATGGCTAGCTTCAATATAGACTAGTGGGTTGGGTGGCCGAATGATCTAATATGTATGCTTTAGATCATAATGTCTGTTATTGAGTCCATTGGTGTGATTTCGATTCCCATCTTATAGGTGACATGGAGTAGGATCACCGTCTTCATTTGCAAAGTCGATGCAGAAAAGTTAAACCCATTTCATTTCATTTCAAAAGCAATGCAATTGAGGCGTAAAATAAAGTTCTGTGTCCTTTGTAAAGTGTATTGAAAAAATGACTCATTGTTTGGTACCATTTTCCCAAAGCCAGTCACATAAGACAGTATTATAAACAATAATTACAATAGGAGTAGACATATGTTATTATTATATTAAGGAATTATTACAATAGGAGTAGATAAGTGAATATTTTGTGATAAACTGGGAGTAGATTAGAATTAGTTCTTATCATATTCAACTCAATAAGCATGTGTGTGTTTGGGAATCAGGCTTAATTGTCATTCAAATAAACACAAATTAGGCATTGAAATACTATATAGGCGTACTGGCTCCTCTATGATTTAGAAGGCTGTAAAATTATTACTTGATTACTGTCTGGGACCTCCACTTGATGATGGCTATATGTGTTACAGACTCCATTTCTCAAACTATTTCTCAATAGTAATGTGAAAGCCTTCTTATTACATTGTACAAGCTGACTGACCTATGTGGTCACGCTTTGTATAGTTGAGATCGATAACACATGTGTTATTTACATCAGACGTAGTAATATAAATTGTCCATGCTGAAATGGCATCTTTCACTCATTTTACGCCTTCTGCACACTATTTTACGTACCCATTAACACTAAATAGGAAATATATTTTATCCAAAAAAACTTCTAACATAGTTTCTTTTTTTCTTAATGATTTAAAGAAATGTTTTAGAATTCAATTTGCAGAAGAAAGAAAAAAGTAAATATCAGGGGCTAATTAACTCGCCCTGATGTCATCCCTATCAGCGATATTGGCAGCAAAGCTAATATTTACTGGTGCTGAGTTTGTCCATTCCTTAGTACGGGAGTGGGTGGGGGGTGGGGGGGATGGGCGAATGGTTAGCACATGTGCGCTGTATCATAAGGCCTGTCATTGAGTCAACTGGCGTGGTTTCGAATCCCTGGTTGTACGTGACAAGGAGTAGGGTTGCCTGTCCAACCTCCTGGATTTTCTCCAGGTCCTCTGGTTTCCTCCCACTGCTATAAAGATCCCTACGTGCAAGCGAATAATGGAAATAAAATTAAACCATATGTTAGTCCTGAAATGACCTAGTCTGTGTCGAGTGGACTATAAACCCCATTTCTCTCTCTCTCTCTCTTTCTCTCCATTCCTTAGTACAATATGTGTGCTTGTTGTGTTGAATATGGTAGTTACTAGTGTTTATATTAATATAAGGAATGAGAAGGAAAACTACAGTATATTTAAATCCTTTATAAATTCTGAATAATTAATAAGTATTATATTTATATAAGTTAAAACAACCAAAAAGTATTCTTTGGTTTAAATCCGTCCCAAGTTTTAAACATATGATTTATTTATCATATATACATGTTGTATTGTATGGACCAGACCGTTTTAATCATATTCTGATCGGTTTTACTGGAGAGTAAAAATTATGTAGATATAACTACCCAGCAACAAATAAGACCTTAAAATCCACTAATTGTCATTTGCACGATTGCAGAATCCCTTATAAACCTCATCCTTGTAAAGGTTGTTTAAGTGGCATTTAGTAACTGGATGAGAATAACATATGACACAATTATATGCAATACAAGTTACTTGAACGGTTTATTTTGGTGATGTTTCGATCCAGGATTCTTTGCTTGATAAAGACAGAAGAACCCTTGTCGAAACGTCGCTGAAATAAACCATTCAAGTAACTTGTATTCCATATAATTGTGTCATTGTAAAAGTTGTAAAAGTCCTGAAATGTATACTGTAAACAAGGGAGATACAGGGCTATATTTTCTATTGGGCTTAGGGTTTGGATGGCCGAATGGTTAGCACATGTGCGCTGTATCATAAGGCCTGTCATTGAGTCAACTGGCGGGGTTTCGATTCCCCGGTTGTACGTGACAGGGAGTAGGATTGCCTGTCTAACCTCGTGGGTTTTCTCCGGTCCCCCGGTTTCCTCCCACTGCTAAAGACCCCTGTGCACAAACGAATTATTAAAATTAAAAATTAAACCATATGGTAATCGTGAAATGACCTAGTTTGTGTCGAGTGGACGTTACACCCCATTTCTCCCTCTCTCTCTTCTATTGAGCTTATTATGTATGCCTTTGTTGTGTGCTGTTTTAACTACTAGAGTGATGAAAGTCAAATATATACTTATATTTTAGTTTGTTTTTGTTGGCATGACGAATCATATATCCTATATATATACCCAATATATAATCTGCAATATCCCTAATCTTGTATTATATTATTTATTATGTTAGAAGATGCTTTTGCGAGCTGGCTTTGATCTGAGCTTATCTAAAATATTTGGAGTAATTTTTCTAAGAAACAATTAGTATTTATCCCATGCTTTTGTGGCCAAAAATTAAGATAACCGGTTGGTGGTAGGAAAACTAGAAATAACTAGTTGCTGGCCAGAAAATTTTTTTTTTCTCTCTGATCTTATACATTTATATTGTTTGAATGGCATTTAGAGTAATTGAACACATTAAAATAAATACAACAGTTCTATGGATAACAATTAGTGTATTTCTACTTAAAGATACATTATGGGAGATATTTATAGAGAGTTGGCCATTATTGCTATAACAGTTCAAAAGTAGATGATGAAAGAAGAATATATTGAAAAATTCAGTCAAATTACTTTATTCTGAACATAGTTATCATCGTTGTAATATTTGCCTAGAAATGGTAGCGAAATGTGTCTTCACCTTCGCTGAACGTTTGATTGACAGGCGTTAACTCCACCTACATATCTCGATTATCAAGTAAAGTTTTCAATGGCATACGGAAACGCTTTACAGCGGCCTTGCTAAGTACACTCTATCATTTAGCCTCATCTAACTGACGTATTTTCATCAGGTTACCCCTTATCTGATTTAATCAATTAGTGAAATCCTATTTAAATCCGAGCTGTAGCCGAGCCATCCGTGGGTCTACAGAGTTGATTTTGGTCTTGTTGTTTAAATAAAGATCTAATTTATAATTTCTATAACATCTGAAGCCTAAATTAAGACTTGCAATAATCAGATTTAGCTCTTGCATAATGCATGTTTAAGCTACGTTTCAACAATGATATCAAGCACAATACTGATACAGGCAGAAGGTATGAAATATGTATACTATGTACAATCTAAACAGTGTCCTCCTAATTAAATGCTTTCATTGAATGTTTAGATTGTACATTGTATATATATTTCGTTCCCTCTGTCTATATCAGTATTGTGCTTGATAACGACAAGAGAATTATTGTTGAAACATAGCTTTAATAGAAATACAGTTATTGTTATCCATAGAACTGTTGTGTTTATTTTACATTTATAGTTAGAGTTCATCTCAAGAGGTCTTTAACATTTTTTCTCAATCAGTTGTTCAGTTTAGTTCTGTATTATAAGATATATTTATTAATGAATTAAGCATAATAATCTTATATTTATTTGATATATTTCCTGTTTGGACTATATTTATGGATGAATTAAATCCCCAACCTTTTTTTTTCTTTTTTTGGAATTTGGACCAGGATTACTGTTCCCCATGTGCTACTCATCTTGTTGTTGCATACTTGTACCTTGGACAATTGTGCATCAATTGACAGACTTTGATTTTTGATGTGACGTCACAATTACAAGATGGCAGTAATGACACAATGTTCAGTTCCTGGTCCACAGGCCTGGAAATAACGGTTTTAGATGTCCCTGACAAAATGTCAGGCACTAATGAAATAGTACCCGACATTTTCAACTTAGTGCCGGACATTGTCTGTGACAGGTGCCTTATTTCCAGGCTTGCAGTGGTCCATATAATACTTGGTTTATTTATCACCTGTGTTCTTACATATTTATTTTTATGATAGTTTTTTTTTAAGACCAGTGTTATTACAATATTATATATGTGTGCCATTCTTGATAGGGTAGATTAAAAATATGAGTATTTGATAGTCTGATTGAAAGATGGCCTTATGGCTACTTGTAAATAAATACAGTTTTATTTAGTATCGTGGTAAAAAAATAATTGATTTAAGAAAAGATCTGAAGTCAAGGTCACAATTTCAAGGAATGGGTTTGGGTATTGGAAGCTCTTAGGACCAGTTGCTTCAAGTTGTGTCAAAAGTATTTGTTAAGGTTTCCTTTAAATTTAATAACTGGAAGCTCATATTTTGGTCAAATGTAGCTGAAATTATAAATATAGCTATAACTAATAATAGTGACTCTTGGCAACTACAGTGAGGGTAGTTTTTGGTGTAATAATAATAGGTTTTGCGAGTATCGAATAATTAAAGTAATCGAAAGAGAAGTTAAAGCCCTGGGTCCTGTTTCACGAAATTTTAACTAAAGATAAAATCCAAATTTTAGTATATAATTCAATTTTGATTGTCTAAGTACTAAAATCAATTTAATATTATCCAATCAAATTACTAAAATTTGGATTTTTATCTTAGTTAAAATTTCGTGAAACAGACCCCAGGTTTGGACACTGTAATGTAATAAAATAAAATTAATCAAACTAGCTGACTTAGATTTATTGGTAAATCAAAAGAGTTCTCCAGAGAGAAATCTACACTGCCTTTTATTATATGTATAAATTATGTAAACAAATTATATTATTTTTTTAATATTAACTTGGAATTGTTTAATGATTAGGCTGTATTTCTGATCGATAAATATTTAGAATTTTACGAGTATGTCTTAGTTGACATGAAAACTTAAATCTGTAGCTGAAAACTGTGGTCTACAATAGATAATGTCGTTTATAATAGATTGTAATATCTGCTTTGATAACTGTAACCAAGCTCTACTACTATTTATAGCTAATATCTAAATCTGGGGCATTATTCGTGAAACTTTAAAAACTGAAATATTTTAAGGATGTGGCCTTTTCATTGATTGTGGGTTAAAAGCCTTGAACAAATTTCAGCTTTTAACCACCAGTGATGGAAAGGGTTAAAATATTGTAGTTTGAAGATGCTTTATGTAAGAGCTAAATTTTGCCAATTGCAGGTCTTCATTTTGGCTTCAAATGTTACATAGATTATTAATGAGACATTTATTCATAAGACAAGCCTATAATCTACTCACTAGACCAGTGGATGGTCATGATTTTTAACGGATGGAATCATGATCGCCATTTAGTAATTTAATTCAAAAATGGATAATCAAGACTTTTTTTTTATCGTAACAATGAAAATCGAGACTACACTGTTCTTATCAAAACTTCCAACCATTCATAACTTTGCTCAGAATAAACTCATTTGACTGAAATTTTCAATATATTCCTTTTAAGTATTTATTTTTAAACTATTATAGCAATAACAGTTGGCTCTTTATCTAATCTCCCATAATGTATCTTTAAGTATTTATTTTTAAACTATTATAGCAATAACAGTTGGCTCTTTATCTAAATCTTACATAATGCATCTTAGGTTTTTGTGAATAAAGGTCGTGGTTATATCTAAAATGCTGTACCTTAGTTTTTGTACGATGAATGTTTGATTTATGTAAAAGAAAGGTGAAGAATAAGTATGGAGGATGTTTAATCTGAGAGAAAGAGACAATTTTAATTAAAACTAACTTCAAGTTTTATGTGTACAGATGAAACAGAATGTATTATTATAATATAAGAAAAACATTTATTTTGAAAAAAAAGGCAATAAAATATTTATTCTATTATAAGAAGCATATTGTTTATTTTTTTTTTTATCCTTTAAATAGGGGATCACGTGGCTAAGTGGGTAAGGCGCTGGCTCGCTAGCCTGGAGGTCGGGTGTTCGATCCCTGCATTGGCCAAAGTTCATCCA